CAACGAAATGAATTCCATTACTCGTCCATCCATCAAATATAATCCCTTATTTTTCAGGTAAAGTATTTTTGATTCTTTCTCATACAAAATCTGCTACGCCATTAAAATACTTGCTAATTGTAGAAACATCCACTTTTGAAAGCCCAGTATGTACGATAAAATTGCGATTTTCACATGCATTAAAAGGTATTTGACATTTTACAATAAGGCTTAGCCAGTTGAAAATGTTATACACGCTTGTGCTATAACTAGAAATATCAATGCTTGCTATTGAAGAGATATTAGATTCGTTACGTTGCTGATAAATTAACTTGAAATTTTCATGTTTTGCATCTAGATGATTCATTAGGCTTGTATAACCAGTTCCTTTTTTTTGGGTTATTAATTGTGATCTGGGAGAACACAAATTACATTGATGCTTAATATCATTTGTAGAGCTAAAAAAAGCATCAATATAAACTTTGTTTGGAAATTTTGTATTCATTAAAACCAATGTAAAAAAGAAAACTGAGTGCAGTATTTTGTTGCGTGTATTTTTAAAAGCTTCGAAATTTTTTATGTGATATAAATTTAATTACCGTATAGTCTCAAAATAATGCCTCACTGCGTTATTTTGAGATAATGAATAAATTAATAACATTCACGTAACATTTACGTTATAAATTAATAAAACTTACACAATAAATTAATAAAATTCACGCAATAAATTAATAAAATTCATCTTTTAACAGCGAATATGTATATGACATATTAATTGCATAATTTTACAATTTTTTTTTTTTAGTGGAAGCCAAATTCGGGTTGTGTTAATAAAAATTGCAATTAATTGACTAATTGTGGCTGCACTACTAATTAATTAATTGAGCTTAAAAAATTGTAATTGCTCCACAATTAATTATTTAGTAGGCCTGAGTATAACCATTAAAGCTGTTGGCAATTTTGTAAATAAGTGGATCATAATAGATTTTCCAAAAGAGTAGTATAATAGTTTCACCTTGGTCAATACTATTTTTAACAGAATAAGGGCTAGTAAGCCCAAAGTTTGTAATAACTCTGTTGTGAAGGTTTAGAAGTAAGTTAGTTAGAATCTTGATAAGTTTAGTTAGTATATTAATACATATAAGAGATTTTTCAAAGAGATTTATATTAACTAAATCATATGCTTTGCTCATATCCTAGGATATGATTCAAAGTTGTTTAGAGTTACATGAAGCATTATGTAAAGAATATGAATTAGAATTGCTGTGCAATTACCAGGAAGTGCAATATAATTATAAGAAGAAAGTATTTGGTAGTTGGTAAAGATTTTGTTAAGACGATTGGTAAGGAGTTTAGTATAAAGTTTTTTGATATATTCGAGGAGGCTTATAGGTCTAATGTTAGTTAGATTGCCATCAAAAATTGGTTTCTTGGAAATTAGGTAGATTCTATCTTCTTTTCATTGATTAGGTATGTTGTTGGTAATTATACATCTATTAAATAGTGCAATAATAGCTAAGAGAAAGGAGTGACCTGCATGTTTAGCATTTCATAGCTAATACCTGAGAGCCGCATGCTTTATTGTTTGGAAGTTGAGAGAGAGTTGTTGAAATTTCATCAATTGTGAATTTTTTGAATACACTATTGTACCGCTCTTTATTAATATTAGAATCAGGATTATACTCATCTTTCTATGTGGAGTTATATATTTGTTAGTTAGTAGGTCTGTAATCTGTCTATTTATCAAAATATTGCTAGATATGAGTTTTGATTTCAGATGTATCAGTGATGACATCATTAACAGTTTTAATATTGTCAAATTTGACAGAATCTTTGTGATGAATAAGAATACTGTTATTCATAGCTTTTGGATATGATTGTAGTTTGTTACATCTTTTGGTAATATTGTCCTAAATTTGGTAACAAATTTCTTTAATTTTTTCGATATTGCATGTATGATGCAACACTTTCCATTCAGTATTGCTATTAGCAATCCAGTTTGTTAAATGATTATACTTATTTGGGATATATTCAATATTTAGTTGGTGTGCTAAGTTAATTGTATCGATATTAGCATTGAGGTGAGTAGATATTGGTGTAAGATTTCTTAAGGAGGCTTTGGTAATACGAATAATATTTTCTAATTTTTTAAGATGATAATGTAGATAGGATGCTTTGGAAGAAAATATATATTGAAAGTTGTAAACTGTAAATTTTTTATTAGGAATATTTTGAAGTGCTGCAGAGATAACACTATTTTGAATTTTGTGCCAGGTGCATTCAAGTGATTCTGGTATATTTGTATCAAGTGGTGTATAATTTGTTTGAAGGTTTGATGAAATCTGGTCTGTATAAATTTGCCATATTTCCTAACTCATGTTTTTATATAAGAATACTCTTTTACGTGTTCAAGGTGCTGTCTGTCTTTTACCAGTAAATGCATATAAAAATGATCGTGAAGATATTAGAATCTTGTAATCTCTTTCTGTACTAGTTTTTGGATCATCAGTATAGAAAGAGGTTAAGTATCAAAGAATTGGGTAGTTAGCCCATATGTAGTCAATACTGCTTTCATGTTTACTATTTTGCTATGTAACTGTAGAAGAATGAGTATGAGTAGCTAAATTGTACAGTCGTACCTGGGCTATATTCACTCTTTTTTTTCAGAGCATTTTTGGAGATATAACTAAGATAGAGATATAACTCAATATATAAAATATATAAAACATATAAAAAAGAGGAAATTTGTTTTGCTTAAATATGGGAATATAACTCAGGTTGGGATATAACTCAGTGGAAATATAACTCAGGTATGACTGTATATATTATTATATTGCAGAAATTGAAGTAATTTATATTTGATAAATGCTGAATGTATATTATTTTCTGCATTAAAGTCTCCTACAACATTAGGTTGCAAGACTGTTATTATTGAATCCACCAGGGTGACCAAGAAAATTTTGGGTCATGTGCATTGTCGATCATCTCTGGCCTGCCAACCGCGGCGATGACAATCCAAAATTTCAGGTCACGTGACCAATCGGCTAATCAATAATTGATTTATTCAATTTCAATAAAATTTTGAAACCTTTACAATGCGCACATGCCATTTACCAAAGTCATTGATATATCGAAGCAAGATTTTGAAGATTCGTGACTAATATATACATTTTAATTTAACCTTACCATAGTATAAATTTGTTATATAAATATAAGTCCAATATAGCGAACTTTCCAAAAGTTTATTATAAAATCTTTTAATATATACACATGTGCTTTTTTGCGAATTTTTTGAACACGATATATATATATATAAAATCCTCAAAAGCATGCACATTTTTTGGCCAATATTGTATACTTATAGGATATAATTTTTGACTATAGCAAAACCCTCCTAAACACACAATCAACTTCCGGCTCAAATACATATATAATTTTCATAAATACATTTTTTTTGTTCTCTAAGTGCACATTATCAAAGTTTGGTCCCGGTAAAGTGCATTTAGAAAGGCTTGACGGTATTTCTTTAATATTAAAAAAGAAAATAAATTTATTAGAAATTGCAAACTTAATTTTATTATATAAATCATGCTATTATACAAAACACTAATCTGATCACTTATTTGCGTTGATAATCATATGTCGTAAATCATCCAAATTTGACCAGAGTTGCTAAGAATCTCATCCTGTTGTACAAAAAATTCATGCCCTAGATTAGTTTTTTTGTTTTTTTTTTTTTTTTTTTTTGCGCCACTATATATTCAAAGTTTGCTATTAATCGCTAATAATTAATATACAAACCGATATGCAATATTGAAGTGGCAACTCTATAGCGATTCTTTGAAAAAACCAATTTTTAGACATGTTGCCACACACCATGGTAAAATCTATTAATAATTTCTAAATTGATAATTTAGTGTAACAAGGTTTTGGTAATAACTTTAATGCAAAAATATAAGCAACTGTGACATTATATATAGATCTAAGCGACAATTGGCAGAACTTTGAAACTATGTGATAAAATTATCAACCAATTAGTGTGTATATTAAATTGTTAAGCAAACATACATACGTTTTTTGGTGTGTTTTCAACAAACATGCATAATTCTATTCGACTTGCTGTGCAATTAATAACTAATATTTCATACTTACCATAGTTATTAGTAATAACTGTACAGATCCCATCATCAGCCACAAATATAGAGAGCATTGTTGTAACGTTCTAGCCAAAGAAGGAACATATAAATAAAAAATCCACAAAAAATACGAAACGTCAAAAATAAAGTATCATATGAATATCACATTTTATCTGGTTAAAGAGAAAAAAGGAGCAGTGTAATGTTAGAGAAGATAAATATCCAAAATATGAAACTTATTATATAAGTGTTCAAAGCCCTATGCATTGCAAAAAATTGAAAATTCGCTTTGCATTTATTTAGTAAAATCATAATTGTTACAAGAAATATCGCATTTTATCTAGTTAAAGAGAAAAAAGGCAGCGTAATGTTAGAGAAAATAAATATCAAAAATATGAAACTTATTATGCAATTGTTCAAAGCCCTACGCGTTGCAAAAATTGAAAATTCGTTTTGCATGTATTTATCAAAATCATAATCATTACAAAGAATATCACGTCTGATCTGAGTTAAAGAAGTATTGTTGTGTTAGACGATATCAGATTAGAAAGAATAAAAATTTTTTCAAGAATTGTAAAGAAAAATTTTATGTAATTTACCTGTAATCGAATTTTATAAATAAAATCATTTTTACCCTTCGTTAAAGATAACTTCCACATAAACATTTTCAGCTAGTATCTCGACATATTCATTAAACATTCTGTCCTATCTCTTGTTAAAGTTTACTGTTGTATAGATATTTTGAACCAGTCTCAAAGTATTGATTAAATCGTTATATCCTCTTTCATCCACAGTGTCTTCGTAATTTAGTTTCCGATTGCAACTATAAAGACTTTAGATTATATTAATTTAGTAAAAATATTAACAAATAGAGTACTGTACTAAATGTCATTGCAACCACCCTCAAGACCAATTCGTGTGGAATAATAAACGCTATAAAACATGCAGAAAAAGCAAAGAGAAACATGATCAAAAAAATAATGATAATGTGTTACCTAGTAGAATAACGCATTCATCAGATGATTATGAATTAAATGACCAAGACAGCGTTGAAGTCCTTCATGAAGAAAGTATTGTCCAAGCTATGGTCATTGACAAAGATAAAAGTCCCGAGTCAGAACATAAAAATCTTATTGAAGTCGACTTCCTCGATTTGGAGGACTTAATCGAACACAAAATCTAAGAATTGACAATTGGTGCTCAGGTTGACGGGATAGGAGATATTGCTTATCAAAGTAATTTAGTAGTAAATCTGGATAGTAATATTACTCAAGATAAAACAGCAAAAGAAATAGCTAACCTACTAATTGCTAAAATTGAAGGCGGAGATAATTATTCGTAGAAGTAAGTATTAAAAATAAAATTAAAAATAAACCATTCATCAAAATTATATTTTTATTATAATGATACTAACCAGATGCTTATAATTGTAGCTTTCACCATGCAGACATGTCAAAAATATTTGGAGATACTGTTGGACGGTTTTATTACTTTTGCTGTCAGTCTTAAGAAGCACCAAGTGAAAATTATAAAGATTCGAATAGAAACGGTAATTATGTTACGATTGCAAAGGAAACATTATTATTTAAATAGATTTAGTTCTCAATGCTGTAAAAATATATACTGTATCTATCATGATTTTCTTTATTAGCGTCCAAATCTTTGTATTGAGATGCCCGATGAATTATAAGAAGAAATCAAAACACATTCGCACCTTACTGCAACAGAATTAAAAAATCATCTGCGGCATTGAGGTTTTGATATCTCTAAGTATTCGCCCAAGCGCATCTACTATTGGAAATCCATGGCAGGTCAAAAATTATTCCAGCGCAATGATGATCATATCAAATTTGCATGTAAACTGCTAAGCGAACATGAAAGCCATGGTTTCCAATGGTGCTTAAATATAAGAGATTCAGATACTACTGCCATTGGATTTATTACACCTTTGTTGAAAGCAATCAAAGATCGTAACATCAGCATCAATGAGATCTATCTTGATACAACTTACAAGACAGCAAGAGGGCACTATGAACTCTATGGTATTATAGCTGATGTAGAAGGTACGGGCTTTCCAATAGCATATTTAATCCTTGACACAACAAAAGTAACTGATACGAGTGCTAGCACAGGAAAACGTCGTAAAATTCTAGAGTGCTTTTTAGAAAATATAAAAAATCATGATGTAAATCCAGATTTCGTGTTCACAGATAAAGATTTTGCAGAAATTAATGCTGCAACTACAGTGTGGGGCTATCAATAGTCCAATTATATTCTTGGCATATAAATCGGGCATTGAAGCTTAAGCTTAAAGAAAAAGCCAAGTCATCAAATAGTACAAGATGTGGGGCGCAGCTGCGTATTATCTATGATATTATGCAAGCAAAGAATAAGTTTGATGACTTTATCGATCCAGAATTTTATCCTACAGAGGATGACCATGATCCAGAAAAATATATTACCTGTCTACCAGAATATCAATTGATGGTTCTAGTTCTCATGCAAAAACATTTCGACATGCATCCTCTGATACCTGTCGATACTCAGGGAACTACCTTAACATCGACAGATATTAGAAGAAATGCTGTAAAAAAGATGTATCAGTTTTGTGTTGAGAACTCATTAAGATTATTATGGGCATACCTCTGGAGTAACTGGTATTCGCCAGATCGATGGAACTTATGGACTCGATCAGTTAGACCAACTATACCTTTTTGTAAAACAACAAAGAAGATCGAAGCCCATTGGGATGTTATCAAGAGATGTTATTTATATCGATTTAACCGCCCTAGACTTGATTTATTGCTGTAGACAATTTTTACTGAAATAGTACCAGCACAAAAAGAGCGACTTTCGCAGATTGTAACTGGTGTTGCAGAACCGTGGTGGTGGGATGATTTTAAGAAAGCATGGAATGCAGCTGGTACAAAAAAAGACAAAAAAGCAAATATTAATACCGACGAACCCATTAAGGGTAAAAGAAAACAAATTATAGATGAAAAGACGACTGATCTGAAAAGTTCATATTTTACAAATATTAATCAATAGCTCTGCAGCTGTCCTGCTTTTCTTGGAAGTCATTTCTTATTGTGCAAACATCTTGTTCAGCAGGTTTTCACTATGCCCAATGGTCAACGACGATGATTAATACGTGAAAATTTTAAACGTCACACCATTCCTCCATTTCTTGTCCTAAAAGATTATGAAAGCGAGAAAGTCACACTTAGCAATTCACCTATTGTATTGTTTGAAAGTGAAACTAATGCCAATAACATACTTCATAATAGTATTGATATTGACAAAGATCCGAAAGAAGAAGCCCATTCTTACGTTGAGTCAAACTGGTCACTGTTTGAACAGGCAATTAAGAGAATCAATGCTGAAAAATCCGCTAATAATTGGTGACAGGTTCGTGCAATTATGGAGAGTTGTTGATTGGTGCAAATAGAAAAGGAGATGCAAGCAGTAGAAAGACAAAGGCATCAGTGAGCGACCTGGACATCAGCCACCAAAAAACTATACTTGATGTACTTGTCATATTCGGACGAATTGAATGATTCAGAAAATCAAGCAAGTTCTAGTAAAAGTATTTCACCTGACAATACAGACCCTACAGCCAACTAATGCTATATTATCGTTATTAAAATGGTTTATTTTTTTAGTACTTGATAATTGACTTTTCCTTATACTAATAATTCGCTATACTTACCTAAAGTTTTAATTATTTTATTAAAATTAGTAATTTTTTTTAATTAAAAAAAGTTAATTATATAGTAACAAACTTATCTTTGTTTCTACTTGAGCGCCTAAATTATTACTGAAAACCAGTTTCGCCAAAATTCAAATTATTGCACTATTTAGTGTATTTTTATAAGGAATTCAAATAATTTTGCCACTTAGAAAAAATTTGAAAATATGAAAAACTATTTATTATTAAGTAATTAGAACACCATATACTGTATATCTTCGTTAATAAAGATCTTTTTTCAGTACTAGTTAAAACTACTACGTAGCGAATTATATATATAAAATATTTATATTAATATAAATTGGTAATGTAAAAATTAAAAAGTGGCCGTTACGGAAAATTGAAAAATTTTTTAAGATAATCTTTATAACACATATTATGATTGGTAGATGATCATGATTTGGCATGTGACCTGAAATTTTAGATCATCATTGCCACGGTCGGCAGGCCGGAGATGATCGATAATGCACGTGACCCGAAATTTTCTTGGTCGCCCTGGTGGATTCATTATTATTGCTTGTTAGACCCATTGAATAATAGTGTTTTGAGTTTGTAGACAAAGTTGAGAATCATCACAAGATAAGTAAATAGAAATAATTTAAAATTTGAAGTCATGTTTAAAGAAGAGGTTGATAGCAATAGTATAGCCAAGAAAGGTAAGAATATTATATATATAAGGGTTAAATTGTTTGTTTAACATTATAGCTGTACCAGCTTTAGAGCTATCAGTACATGATCAATAATATGAGAAGTATTAAGATTTTAAAAATTTTGTACTGGTATTCATACTGACGATTTTGGTATCAGTTATATTTATCCCTTAAACTGTATTCCAGGCAAATTTGCCTGGAAAATTTAATTGTATTTAATATTTTTT